GGCCGGGGCTCGGCCGGGCCGGATTTTCCCTCCTGCTGCTGACCGCGCTCTCCCTCCGCGTCTGGGCGTGTTCTGCAGGTCCCACCACCTCCGCTGTCCTCTGGGGAGCTTTTTCACTTCTGGCCTTCACTACAGAGGCCAAGACGAGAAAGTGAAAAGTCCCTCAGGGCAGCAGACGAAACGTGGGAGGAAAGGCAGACCAGACCGCCTTTTCCTTCTCTGCTTCCCCAAGTACCTTGCAGGGCAGTCTGTAGCTTGTGCTGTTCCCTTCCTCCCTCGCGGGAAGCTGCCGTGGTGGGACGGGCTGCCGGGCATTAAAGCTCTCAGCGGTAGAACAGTACCTTGACCCAGCTGGCAGGATGGTTCCACAAGTGGAAGTTGAGTTTGGGAGGCTGAGCAATGCGGTTATTGCTTTTTATCTCCCATCTGAAGGGGTTTCTGTTTTGTTTTCGTTTCTCCAAACGCTCGTTCATTGCATGTATGAGACTTCCCAGAGCTGACTGAGTCTCTGGTGCGTATTGTGTTTGGGGAAGTTTACTGCAAGGCCAACAGTTAGAGCTGTTCTCATATTCGCTTAGCATAAGGATCTGCTTGGATTGAAAAACAAGCAAGGCTGAATAAAGTACTTATGAGCAGGAGTTGAGGGAACTTCTTAAGTCTTCCACTTTGTTTAAGTGGTCGTGATTGTAAATTGGTTCTTCGAGTGCTGGCAAATACTTATGATTTAAAGTGACACTTTCTGGAGCACAGAAGGGTATGCAAATTCATCGTGAACTCTGTTAATCAGCACTTACATTTTTATAGCAATGTAATTCATATGTGCTTGTCAAAATGCATGAGGGATTGTTGTGTTTCCCATTAATCCTCTATCTGTAGTCTAATTGTCTCCCTATAAGAGGATTTTTTTGAAAGACAGTTTTAATAAAATAACATGATTCAGGAATTAAATTGCCTTTATTTTGTGGTTCGTTTGAACATATCTTTAATTCATATGTAATTCCTGCAACCTGATAGTTCTGTATTGGAACAATTCTTGTCTCGGTCAGTTAGCATGCAGTAGAGTAAGTGTGTTTTGGAGGGATGATCATCTCTGGAGAAGTGCTTGGGAACTATGGTAGATAATGTTACCTCCTGGTTGGATTGTGAGTTGGCTCAGGAATTCCCTTGGGCATAGTGAATGTCATCACGATAAACTAGATGGTAAGCTAGAGTATTGGTCGTTTTATAGTGATGCCAGAGGCAGAGATAATACTTAGATTTTAGGCCTGAAGATGGGATAGTGTGCTAGAGAGGAAGACTTGAGATTAGACTAAAAACAATAAATGTAGCTTTAATTAGCAGCCAGGCAGTGTATCTCTGACTTAAACTACCTAATTCACTACTATTTAAATAAAAAGTTCATTTTAGTGTTTTGGGGTTGGTGATCTATCAAAATTGTTATAAAAGCATGTACATCCAATCAGTCGATGTTTCGTTTCCTCAGTCGGTATTTTGACCAGCGTGCCTAGCAGTAGCTGCTTAAATAGGAAAAGAAAGCCACTTGCCTAAACTGAGTTTGTTATGTAATTGTTGGAGATGTAATCTGGCAGAGATGTTTGAGGTAACACCCCTTCTCATGAGGAAGGTGTTGCAAAATCTTTCGTGATGCAGAGGTGGCTAGTTCATGCTGTGTTAAGATATTGTTGGTAATTTTTGCTTTCCTTATGTGCAAAAGAAAGTCTACCTGGGAGGGTCCTACCTTGGAGCCTCTGGGGTTTTCCAGAGCTTTAGGTTTTGTGTGTGTGTGAAACAACAAAGTAGGACAGTAGGAAAAAAATATATTTTTGGTTAAACTAAGATGAGAGGAGCAACTGTAGGGCTTAAGGAAAGCAGTTGGTTCTTGTTAAGACAGGTATTGGACATGAAAAACTTAACTGTGTGGAAAATCTACTTAGTCTTCTGTAGGGATCGCAGGCACATGATTGTGCTTTTAAAGGGTCGATGTATTTAAGCTTACAGGAACTGAAACTTCCAATGTGTCTAGAAAAATAGATGGAAGCTTTAAATAACACAATTACAACAATGTTATTGCTACGCTGCTTGTTCCTCTGCCGTTCCAAACAAAACAAATGAGCTCTGTTCGTTCTCCCTCTCTTTCTTAGCTCCAGTTTAGGAGTTGCCATTGGAATTGCACTTCAGCTCTTAAAACAAACCAAATTTGTCAGTGTTACTATCTTCATGTGAGATTTTGGGAAAAAAAAAGATGTGAGGTGACAAGAGGGAAAAAAAGGGGGATAGGAGGAAAGATGAAGAGTTAAAAGCCATTTCAGCTCCACAGTGTAGGGATTGGTAACAGCATATCAGCTTATATGCAGGCATGCAAGATAACTGATGTGATGGAAGTGGATGGGCAATAAACAAATTACAGTTTCTGCTCAATATAAATTCCACAGCAGGAAAAGAATGACAGCAGATATAATATGTGAATAAACTGTGGAGGGCTTGCAGAAATAGAGATGGAAAGCTCTGGAGGGGGTCTCATCCTGGGAGGCTGCCACTGACGTACGATTTCAGTTTGGCTTCCAATCACTTTCAATTCCTGAACTCATTTGTATTCTCTTCGATGACTCAGTGATGAGCTGCTTCCTAGTAGTGTTGCTGTCAGTGCAGTACATGCAGTGCTTACATCTGTTGTGGTAAGCGCGTGAGGAGTTTCAGTCTGTGTGCTTTTTGTTTGTTTGTTTGCTTTTTTAAAGAGAGAGAGAGAGAGAGAAGGAAATGCAGTCAGTTCTCTGTTTCCAGCCACGATTGCTGGGTATATGGGGATGCTGAGCTGGCTGCATGCAGGCTAGCTCAGGAGCGGTAGCATACTAATAGAGCTGTGCTCTATTTGAGCAGCAGACACTGTAGGAGAGTGTTTGAATAGGTTCAGAACTGACTTTTAGAATTCAGACAGGAGGTTTTAATGTCTAAGTTTATCTGCTGTGAAATTTTTGATCTGAATCACTAAACTGTCTCTTTAGGAAGCCTGCTGAGCATTTGTTTGCACCTTGAGTGCTTATTATGACAGCAGAGGCATGAGACAAGCTTTCGCTGAAAGATTTGCTCCTTTACCTTTCCACAGAAACTGTGCTACGATTTCATAGTACCCATTTATCTTCCTTTTCTTCCCAGCTCTCCCCTGTTTTTTGTTTGTTTGCATGTTTTTTGGCCTTGATGTTATTCTTTGTCTGATATTCCACAAAAGGCAGAGGAGAGATTGTCATGAGTTTTTCCTGAGTAGTAGTAAATACGCCTTGACCGTGAATACAGATCTACCCTTCTTTGGTTTTATTTGGAACGTGAATTCTTGCACAAGACCAAACACTTGAGAAATTCCCTTTTAGCTCCTTGACTGTAAACAAGATACATAGGATAAGTTTGAAAGTCCTAAAGCAGGAGGTGTCACTGGTTATGTTTTTGATCTGCCCCACAGTGTCACATTGATGTTAGAATAACGAGTATTTTCTAGTATTTGTATGACTCTTTTTCAAAAAAAAAAAAAATCACTTTGGGCAAATCACATTGATGGGCCTAGCATCTTCAAAATTTTTAGAGAGAAAAAGGTAGCATCTGCAATTACTGATGTTGTTTCCTTGTTTGAATTTGTGGAAGCTTATATATGGAGCATTAAACGCAGGTGGAGCAGATGATAGCTGGCTAAAGTATGTGTGACCTCCCCAGGAGCTCTGCTGGCCCAGACAGGCAGTAGCATGGCTCCCTTATTGCTGAAGGAAGTTACTAGATAATATTTGACAAGAGGATTAAAAGAGACCGTGCCTAACGAGTCAGTCCAGAAAGTAAAACATTTACACTTCAGATTGGTGAAATAATAACACTAACTTAAGGAAGTGATCCATAACCAGAGCATCTTAATGCATTTCTAGTTCCTCTGTCCCCCAGTGAGGAGTTTCTTGAGCCATTCTTTGCTTATCTGTCAGGTTATGGGAAGGGTTTGGATGAAACTTGGATAAAACAGCCAGGACTCAAGTTTTACTGTATCCTTGCAGCCTGTGCCAACAGCACTGGCTCAGGTAGACCGCGAGAAGATCTACCAGTGGATCAATGAGCTGTCCAGCCCTGAGACGCGGGAGAATGCACTGCTGGAGCTGAGCAAGAAGCGGGAATCCGTGCCTGACCTTGCCCCAATGCTGTGGCACTCGTTTGGCACAATTGCAGCTCTCCTTCAGGTGGGTAGGATTGGCGGTTTCTTTATTCCACGGTGCAGCAACCACACAATGCAGAGCTTGTGTCCACGAGGCGTATCTGGGGAGAGCTTAATGAAGTCCCTTATTGTTGTTGCTGGATATATGCTGCTTGCCAGGGCGTGTAGTGAGGGGAGTGGATGTAGGAAACCCATCTCTATAGTGTTTGCCATTAGTCATCACTAGCAAGGCTGCATTTGTAGGCATTATAAGATTTCTTATGAGAAATCTACATATTTGGGAGGGGAATGGGTGAGCTGTGGATGTGTGTGCTGCCTGGTGATACTGTTCCCCACGGATCACGTTCTGTTGATTTTCTTAGTGTTGTAGCAGCGCCACAGCAGTCTTACTCTTGCAGTCTGTTTTGACTTTTTGCATGACCCTGAGTTTGGTCAGAAGGCTGCCCATGTAGTTAGCAGGAAGGGGAGTATGGGAATGCTGCTCACTACCCTATAGAGATCCTTGTGAAGGAAAGTACTTGCATCTCTTGTCAAACTCAGCTGTGCAGCTCTTTGCTGAGCCAACATACTCTACAGCTCTACTCTGACTGGCCGTCTCTCAGTGCAGAATCTAGTCGAAATGATAGCAAATAATGCAAACAATAGCAAAAAAAATTATAGAATGGTGCAGAATCTAGTCAAGTTTGAGGAACGACAGACAAGCAGGCGGAATAGGCAATGTCCAAGTGCTTTGAATGGCCCCGAAACAAGTGGAGAAAATTAGAAGGGAGCTATGGTAGGAAGTAGGCACATTTCTGAATTGGATTTCTCACCCTCAGCTGCTTCCCCTACACTGAGGGAGCAGAGTACCAGCAGCATGAATGCAGTGGAGGTGTGCTCTACCTCAAGCACAGGAACACTTTTCTTCACTCTGGAAGTTCAAAACAAAACAGTCCGCCACTAGCAAAGAGACATGAAATCAAATGAACTGTTCTTTTGTGATTGGCCGCATCCCTGTAACTCCTTGTCAAATCAGCTCTGGCCCAGCTCTGCCCTTTCTTGGGCAGCACGGTGGCTGCTGTGTAACCTGTCTTCAAGTGATGTTTGGTGAAAGGGGACTGTCATCTCTTGACACCATTATTCCTTGCTGGGCGAGTGCTTTTGTGGAGCTTGCTGGTGGCTTTTTTCCCTTAAGTTTTCTTCATCTGTTAATTTTTAGGAAATTGTAAATATTTATCCATCAATCAACCCTCCGACTCTAACAGCTCATCAGTCCAACAGAGTCTGCAATGCTTTAGCTCTACTACAGTGTGTAGCATCACATCCTGAAACGAGGTAGGTGTTTCCACATGCATAAGCCTTGAGAAGTTGGTGTTGACAGCTCAGTCAGTCTGACTCAGAAGCACGTTAAGGTCCTTCTTGCGCTCTTAACCAAAAGTAGTGGAACAGTGCACAGAGCTGGAAGATAGGCAGCTGCCTGCTCCTTTCACTTGTGTGCACGGATTACCAGGTTGACAGCTTCATGGTGGTGCTAAATACATTGCGTTCCCTGAACCATTCTGAGATCCTGCAAATTCCCAAAACATTTGATTGTGGCATTCCCTGGACACTCAGTCAGAGGCAAGAGTGCCTTTGTGCTCGGTATTGCGCACAGGATCATTGTTTTAATGAGCTTACAGTTATTTAGACCAGCTGTCCAAAGGGTAGGATGGGCAAGACTGCCTTTCCCAGAACATGTGCGTGGCAGGGGAGCGATAGCAAAGCCACGTCTGGAGTTCTCAGCCAGTGGCTGACTTTCTCAAGTTTTCTCAATCTGTGTCCAGTATGTGTCAGCAAGGAAAATGTTGGTGTTGGCTAAGCCAAAATCAGTAGCCGCAGCCAGAAGACAACTACCCCGAGAGCCATGATCTCATATTTCTATTCCTTCTGAGAAGGGGGGAGTGGGTAGCTGAAGCTGTTCTTCAGCTGCTGCAAGTTAGTGTTAAATAGCAGCCCTCCATGAGACAATGTCCAAGGAAACAGGCTAGTTTTACACTAGATGTCTTTACAATTAAAGTTTGAAAACTGAGGGTGGATAGAAGAATGTTGGATAGTCATGCAAGAGAGTTTCCCCCCGTTAGCATGGCAGTCTCCAGGTTTCTCCCTGCAGTCTGTATTTTTCACTATTGTCAAAAGGCAGTGTGAGGGCTCCTGGGGAAAGGTGACTGTGCTCATTTACACAATGATAGAGACCAGCCCTTCTGGATTCCTGTTGCGCTGAGGCTGTGAGCAGGCATCAGGGCTAAGTGCCCATGCAAGCCTGCAATCCACAGGGTGATATGTAGCAGTGAATGGAACAAGCAGTGGGTCTGGGAGGCAGAAGGAGGTAGTAAAAATAATAGAACAAGCTCCATACCTGGTCAGCTGGAAGCAGCTATGCAAGTGACTGACAGTTGAGGCATTAGGTTTTGTGCTGTGCTTGCAGAGCTTCACACCTTTCCATTGGAGAATGGGCTGTTACTGTCTTTTGAGGAGTATCAGTGATGGTGTCTGTTAAGGAATAGGTTGAGGCTGTGCATGGTAATCCTGGATTGTGTGCTCCCTTAACTTTCCTTGTCTCTCACACTGGGTATTCTCCCTTTTGTACAGGTCAGCTTTTCTGGCAGCTCACATCCCTCTCTTCCTGTACCCCTTCTTGCACACAGTTAGCAAGACACGGCCATTTGAGTACCTGCGGCTCACGAGTCTGGGAGTCATTGGTAAGCAGCCAAGCTAATACTGGGGCATTTGTTTCCTATTGATTTGGATACAGTTCATGCTGTATGTGTAGATAGCAGCATGACCAAAGTCACAGATCTGTTTTAACCAGGATCGTCTGAGTCCTGTAGTATTAACAGGAGGAGGGACTCTTTTTCAACCAATCACCCTGTCAAGTTCCTGTTAGTGTGTGGGAACTGGATTTTTCAGCAGTAAGGATCCCTAGAGTCCAGGTGTCTAGCTGCATTGCCAGGAATATCTATCTGCCATTAATGGAAGCACCTGCAGTCTGTTGAGCCTTCACCCTCAGCACAGACACTAGAGATTGGAATGGCTGGGTGCAGATGGGGGTTCCTTTGCCTTTTTACCATTGGTTGACTTGAGTATATTTGCTGTCCTCCTCTTATTTCCTGCCCAAAACGTTTCTGCTTGATGTGTAAAGCAAGAGGCTCTTGAACTGCGTTTCTTCTTGCCAGAGGTTGCTGCGGAGTAGCTGACGAACATGATCCTGTTGCGTTTGTGTTACTGCCAGGGGCGAGCCAAGACTGTGTCCCCTTTCTGAAAAACAAACAAAAAACCCTCAAATCCAGCATGATTACCTTTATGTTGCCAAAATGATCTCTTCTCCGTGCATATGCTGCAACGTACTCAGAATGATAGTTGCTCTGCCTGCCATTCAGATCTAACGGTCCCTGGAAAGGGTACAGTGCAGGCGTTCTTTGAATAGTGAGATTATTTGAAACATTTATCGTGTTTTGTTTTTTCTTTTCTTTTCAAGGGGCATTGGTGAAAACCGATGAGCAAGAAGTGATAAATTTCTTATTGACAACAGAAATTATCCCCCTGTGCTTACGTATCATGGAGTCTGGCAGTGAACTCTCCAAAACGGTATCTGCTGTTTGTCTTAATTAAGACTTCTTGTTGTTAGTCTCCAAGTGGCCAGGCAGTCAGTGACCTGCAGGGTTGGCTTGTGTCCTTTTGTAGTTGCTGGGGCAATCCTGGGTGGAGTTTTACATCCTCAGAAAAAATCACTAAACTCTGAGCTGGGGGTTCCTTAGCTTGGTAGCTTTGTGGGGCAAGATCTTGCTGCTCTTAACAGCCATTCTCTCCCCTGTAGCCCTGCAGAGTAACTTTCAGGGCTGAGCTGGACCAACTTGCTCTGGCCTAAGAGAGCAAATGCTGTAACTATGCAGTGCAGAGGCTGGACAGCAGATATTAGTGGTGGCAGTTAGGGGAAGGTTTACCGTGCTGGACCAGCCCGTTGTTGTGTTCCCCCACCCCCCCAGTCAGGGGCCCGTCTCCAGCATGAGGTCAGTCTTGTCTGATGACCCAGGTAGTACAGGCCACAGATTTTAGTCTGGATGCTTCTCTGTGATGAAGCCTGCTGACACGTTTGACTGAAATTCTTCCAGAAAGTCACTTGTCTCGTGACCAAGCAGTAATTCTCAAGACAAAAATTGAAATCAGCTTGTGCTATAGATGGCAGGGCCAAGGAACAGATATTTCTGGTTCTTTCTCTGTGACCAGAATAGCATAGCTGTAACTCTGAGGCTGTCCTGAGAAGCCTGGCAATAGTTGCTATCTAATGCAGCCTGCATCCAGTCTTGGTGTACGCTCTGCTTTGTGTCCACCTCTTTCCTTTAGCCAGGGATGCCAAGCCATTGGGTAGTGTCCCGCATTTCCTTTTGGCTTTAAACTTTCATCAAGTTCAGCATTAGCTGCCTGCTGAAAGGCCTTTTAGCTCTGGGACTGCCATGAAAGAACACAGCACAGACTGTTCCTTTTCAGAACAGATGAGTTGGTTATAAACTCTTATTTTCTGCTTTCTTCCTGTTCTAGGTTGCTACATTTATTCTTCAGAAAATACTCCTGGATGACACAGGGCTGGCATATATCTGTCAGACTTATGAGCGGTTTTCCCATGTTGCCATGATACTGGTAGGATTTTTTTTTTCTTTATATATATATATATACACACACACACACACACACACACACACACACACACATTTTACTGCTTTCTGCCTAGAGCAAAGGCAATGTTCTTTTCTTCTGCGTGATATCAGAGCAGATTCATTTCTTACATGCTTCATATGACATTTTGATTTCTGCTATGTGCTGTAAAACAGTAGTTCTCCTTGGTTGTAGCCCCCCAAGGGGGCACGTTGTAGAGAGGAAACACAAAAATAAAGCCCAAGAGCTTCCTTTCTTCCTGAAATGGCTTTGAAACCTCAGGAGGAACAGAAGGGTTTTCCGGGTTGGATGTGAATTGATCCCATTTTATGTAAGAATGACCACACTGGTTTGGACTGCGAATCCATTTCCTCAGTCTGTTTCCTACATCAGGTGGAATGAGATGTCAAGGCATGAGTAAGAACAAGGCAAGCATATATGATACTTCCCCTTGTAACATTCTCCCAGATGCCGACTGTTTTCATCTTTGATTTTTCTGGAGCCAGTTGTGGGTTTTCTATATAGTAACCTCCGATGAGCTTTTCATCCAAGTGTTTGTCCTCCCCTTGAAACCATGGAAACTTTTTGCATCCATGGTGTCCTTTACCAAGGAGTTCCACAGGTTTCCTGTTTGCTGCCGTCTTCTCTTGTTTGTTTTGAACCTGGTTCCTGCTAGCTTATTTTAATGACCCTAGTTCTTGTGTTAGAAGACACAGAGCAGACAATTTCTGTCCATCCCCTGTCTCCTGTGAAGGAGAAGTTTTGGTACCCCTATTTTGTTCATTCCAGGAGTAATAGCTCCAGCTTGAACGTTATCTCTGAGCTTGCTAAGGGGATGTAGGTTTGCCCAGGAACAGCAGTAGTTCTGCTTTTGTCCTTTTTTTAAGAGCAGTCTCGGGAGAAGAAAATGCAATATCAATTTCTATGTTTCCCACTCTTGATTCTGTGACTAAACGTTGATGCTTTCTTGCTTGGGAATATTTGTATATCTGCATTCCCAAATCTGAAGAAAACTTAACTTTTTCCTTCTGATCAGTTTTACCCATGAACAGCAAAATAGGAATGCTTTAGAGCCGATGTCTAAAACTTCCAATGTGATATGATTTTGCAGTTGCAAATGGGATCACCTCTGCATGAAAATTCATCTGGCTCAGGGGCAAAGTGAGAAAAGCAGTTAGAAACCCTGGGGTAGGAGAGGGAAGGTAACCAAGGAAGAATCTGTGGCTGGGAAGGGCATGAACATGGAGGGGTGTGGGCATGTCATGCAATGTTAGCATGGAAGAAACCCTTGCTGTGGTATAATCCCACCATTGGGTGAAGTGCTGACATGATTAATATTCCATAATGCAATGGAGAAGGATGAAAATGTTCTGTAAACATTTCTACTCCGTATTTTGGAAGAGTCAGCATAACGTATTCCTGTTTTAGGAGGATGATGGTCTACTTCCTAGTCCACTGGTACATGAGTAAGTTGTTAAGCAAGTATTAGAGGCTTTTAAAACCGCAGATTGGCAGTTCCTGTCCAGGAGCTGTCTGAGGAGCTCTCTGGCCTGTTGTTCATTATTTTGAAGAAATCTTGGTATTTTGGGGAATTCCTGAGAACAGACATCTTGCAAAAGAGTAGGTGAGGTGGCCCCACTAACTGGTAACTGAGCTGACTAAATATCTGAAATCAGGTGAATTTGGCTAATGGGAAATGGTTAGTGCTAGCCAGTGAAGCCTAGCATTTTCTTTATGGGAGAGAGAACTTGTCAGGCAGATCTAATTCAGCTCCTAAACGCAAGCGATCAAGGTAGGCCTATGAAGGAATCTGCACTGTTCGCTAGGCTGGGTGCATTCAAGGATGATAGGTTTTCATGCAACCATATGCATAGTCCCAATCACATGAGAAACGGAGGCTGGGACAGGGAGATCTGCTCTGATCTTGCTTTCTAGGATCAGCAAACAGCATAATATCAGTGATGGAGCAGAAAGAGAAAATACAACTCTTGGTTGCATGATAAGACCAGAATGTGGATCTTACTATACACGGAATGGGTGAGCCCTATCCTTCAGAATGGCTTTCCAGGCTATTGTCAGAGTTTTAAAAGGGTGTTGAAATGAGGGCAGCGCAGATGAGAACGTGGATTGTTGCAGAGGGTAGGAACCTGCCTCATGGGCTGACTGAACCTGAGCTTATCAAAGTGCTTGGAATATGCTTGCATTCCTCTGTGAGGGCAAGAATCCGGGTTCTCTTTAATCTAGCAGAAAGTTGGACCATGAAGCAGTCCTAGGAAGAGGAAACCAAACAGAGGTGAGCTGAGCTTTCCTCCAAGCAGCTGGGAGAATCTTCCTTCTCTAAGCCACGGCTACCTGCTCTTCTCAAAGGTGTCTTGGCATCCAAGGTGCTGGGCTCCACGCAGGGGTATCCAGATGAAATGTAATGGGCTGTGATGAGTAGGAAGCCGGAGTGAGTGATTTAACAGTCTTTCCCAGTCTTTCTTGATTGTGAAACTGTCTTTATAAAAGCTTTCTAACTGGTGGCGCTGGCCTCTTTCAAACAGGGTAAAATGGTCCTGCAGCTTTCCAAGGAGCCTTCGGCACGGCTGCTGAAACACGTTGTCCGCTGTTACCTTCGCCTTTCTGATAACCCCAGGTAAACATCTTAGGAGTTTGAGCAGGGGCTTCTTCCATCTCCTTGCAAGTGCAGTTCTCTCCATAATGCCCGCTCAAAAGGGGTCAAAATTCCTGTCTGTCCTTACATCAGCCTTAGCTGAGTGTAGAAATTGCTTTTTCTCTCACTGGCCCCAGGAGTTCTTATGGTATGTGGGAGAAACAGTGAGGCTTTAGAGCTTTTGCCAGTTTGAGCTGCGCAGATCATGACTCCCTTAGCACAAATTAGTTTGAGGGAGGTACAGTGGAGGTGCTGAGATGGAAGGTAGGCCATGCTCTCCCTCTTCTACCATGGTGCTGGCTGTTAGCGGTAGAAGCAAGTCGATGAAATTCTGGCACAAACTCAATTTATGTCCTTAGCTGACCAGCAGCCAAATATGTCTCTGCCTCCTCTGGAATCACACTGCTCTTGATTGACAGGTGTCAGGGCACAGGGATTTACTTGGTGAGCCCTAGCAAAAGGGATGGGAGCCGTGCTGGTTGGCAGTGTGCCATGTGTTGGGGTGCTGCTGCTCAGTCATTACCTTGGCTCATCCTGCCAGAGGGATCCCCAGGCAAACGAGCGTTACGTTCCCAGTGGGGTTTCCTCCCCTCTTGCCCCTGTGAGTTTATTTGTTGGGCCCCTGTTTCTTGTCTCTTGATGTAGGGCACGTGAAGCTCTCAGGCAGTGCCTTCCTGACCAACTGAAGGACACCACCTTCGCCCAGGTTCTGAAGGATGATACCACCACGAAGCGCTGGCTGGCTCAGCTCGTCAAGAACCTGCAGGAGGGTCAGGTCACTGACCCACGGGGCATCCCTCTTCCACCGCAGTGACTGCTGGGGGAGGTGGGGGATCAGGGAAGAAACAGCTCAGGTTTACAAAGAACCAGGAACAGATGACCTCTTCCACAACAAACTGGGCATGCCAGCTGGCTTTTGGCCTCCCAGCTCATAGGACCATTCCACCATGCCAAAGGGCTGCTCTGTAGCAATGCAGCATGCCTCTGGGGATCGCAGCACCAGCAAATACTGATACTGCAGCTTAAGAAATCAATAAAAACAATCTATAGAGATCCCCGTCTCTCCAGAAGGCTTGGCTGGCATCTGTCCCTCCATTGCCAGGCAGGGGATAGTGCAGAGGTCCACTCTTCCAGCTAGCTCAGTCTCTACACAAGTGGTGTGTGACACAGGGTGTGTGCTGTGTCCCTCCAGTTCCTTGTCACTCCATGTTTACAAGTCTGTCTAGATGAGCAAGCTCAATAAAAGCTGATCCAGTCTGAAGAGCAGTTAAAACAACTGCTACTCAGCTGCAGATAGCCTGGGGACAGCTTTCTTCCCTGCAAGCACATCCTTGCTCCTGGCTGTGCATCCGACTGGCACAGCACGCGTCTCTCTTCCTTTTCTTTGGCACAAAGGCAGTGGCTGGAGCTGGGCCCGCTGCGGTGTTGGCCCCAAGAGAAGGGTTGATTACTTGCAGTGAATCCATGCGTCATAAGCTTGGTTCTCAGGGTTCTGGGGGAGGAAAAGACAGCAGGACTGTGGTTCTTGTGCTGTAAATAGTGCATTTCCTCAGCTGCTGCAGCTATAGACCCTGTGTTAAACAGTGGTCTAGCACAGCTATTGCCCAGCAGGGCTGCTGACTGGCTTGTCAAATGCTGCTCAACGTTAGGAAACCTGCCTGGTGGGGGTCGGCAATCCACTGACTGCTGATCCCCTGCCACAGGACAGTCGGGAGCTACATTCTGCAGGCTCTAGGTATGCCAGCTTCTGCCTTCGCTGCTGCCTGAAAGGTGTCTCCGTCCTGACCCCTTCCCCTTCCCTCCCCAGCTCATCTCTGCCAACCGAGTGCATCTATTTCAGCCTTCAAAGCTGCCCTGGTGTCTGCCTCAGCCCCACTGCAATTAAACCGTCTGGACGAGGAGCCACTT